ACTCTTTCAGTTTTGTCCTTATGTGTCCATTTAATTGATGAGGACCTTAAAAGATAAAGAAGGAATGGCCCTGCTTGAGTTTGGTTGACTCAAAAACCTGTTTTTTTCCCCCTAAACTTTCCCTATTCCATTAATCAATCATGCAAACTGTGGTTTCAGAGGGCTGACATAGATTTGGGTGAATAAGCTTCCATTTTCACTATTTTCACACTGTTCACATGGAAATCAGGTGTGCAAAGTGAGCGACCATAGGTGTGCAGGTAGGAAGCAAAGTTGTCCTGCCTCAGGCAAAATGTGTGGGCAAAACAGCAGCTAGTTTCTGTGCTTGGCTTAGTCTGTTTGCTGTCTAGTCCTCCTGAGACATTTTTTCCCCCTTTTCTCTCACATTTTTCCCCCCCCTTTCTCTCCTATTTTGTTTGCCCAAGCCCTTCCACTCCCTCCGTCTAGGGGAGGTCATTCCCCTTAGGAAAGCAGCTCTGTTCAGAGGATTTTTGATGGTTGCCCAAATTCACTTGAAACTGCAGTGCTCTCTTTCCAAACAGCTCTCACTTGCAGTCCCAAGTGAAGAGGCCTTCATGCCTCAGCAGAGCTGAGAGCACTTTCTCCCTCTTTCTGTTCCTTCGTGGGGATGGTGCATAAGCAGCCTCGTGGGGAAAGGAATCCCTGCTGATGGCTGGTTTGCATTTTTTCTGTCCTGCCCTGCTGTGTTACACTCTTCCCCCTTTCCATCTGCTGAAGATGACTCCTTTTCTTTGGAGATTTACCACGCTTGGACCTCAGTGCTCCAGCAGAAGTGCAATATCCCAGAACCTGCTTGGTTTGGCTCGCTTGTTGTGCTCTTCCACGGGCACCCAAGGCACTGGGAACATCTTTTGGGAACTCACAATGTGAGGTCACTTCTTGAAGGGCTGAGACCCTCACAGTGGTGACACCTAGGAATCATAATATCTGGTGGAAGCATCCTAGGAACAAAGGACTGTCCTGGGGACAAGAACCTTCCAACAGGACCCATAGCATCTTGTGCTGCCCTGGAGCACCAGCCTCTCCTTGCCTACCCTGAAACAAAAGCAGTTGCAAAGACAAATGAGTATTGTGCTTTTCTTCTCTCTGGAGCTTTCTGCTTTGCATCAGGTGCTGCAGGAACAACCTTTGAGGGCTGATAAGGTGTATCCGCCAGCTTCTTGTTCTTTGATGAATAATAACTCCTGAGCTCTCACCTGGGGGCTGATGAATGGGAGATTGAAAATCCCAGGCTCGTTAGTACTTGTTATCAGCTGATAAGGGCAAATTGAGTCATAAGAGCAGCAGCCCCAGTGGGACTGCCAGATTGGAGGTGGTGGTGGTGTATTCCCAGCCTGTGGGATGGTTTCTGTGTGGTGCCAGCATGGTTCTGCTCGAGTTTTTGGTACTCCACAAGCAAGGATGCCCACAGGAGCACTCCAGCACCCACCCCTGCCCTCCTGGGGGGGGTTTATAAACCCTCCTCCCAACCTGTGCAAGGCCAGCAGGGTCTGCTCCAGGTTGTCCTGCAGAAGTGCTTCCTGCTCCAGTGAGACTGTATGGGATCTTTGGGCACCGTGGTCATCTGGCCAGCCCAGCAAAAGAGGTGACAGGCAGGCTGGGTGATGTCCCTAGGGCTGTAAAATATGTTGCCTGCTCTTCTCAGTCAGTTGTGAGCCCACCACATCTTCCCTGAAGAGGGATGGTCGTGGGTGGAGAGCACCAAAGCCAAACCCAGGGCTGAGAGAGCTCATGGGAGAAGGCAAGAAGGGGCTGCAAAGTATCCCAGCCAAATCATAACAACCCTTGGAATACTTTGGATCTCCCCCTTCCAGGGCTCTGCCAGCACAGCCACCTTCCTGTCCCTGCAAGGGACCCGTGCACAGGCCAGTGGAAGAGTCTAAGGCCAGCACTGAATTGTAGGCAAGGTGGGAATTGTGCCACCTTGTTAAAAAATCCCCTTGGTATTCAAATTTCCCCTTCGTTTCTCCATTTTGGAAGGTGCAAGTTGCCCTTTGGTTTTCTCTCTACTTTTCTACTCCAGCCAAGAGGAGTCTTGGAGGGGTTTTACCTCTTTCAGCTGATGAACATCAGTGCTCAGCTCCAAAGGGCTTGAATTTCCATGAATTTCAACTGAATGAATCATGACTGGTGCCAGTGAACATCTACAAAAAATCATGTCTAAGCCACCAAACTCTTTGGGAAGCTGAGACAAACAGCCCCATTTCCAGAAGTGCCCCAGAAAACACTGAGAGGAGCTCTGGTGCCCGTTTCCCTTTTTATTCCTTTTATTTTTAGACAGAAATGCTTTTGAAAACCCTCCCAGGCTCTGCCAAATCTCATTTCAGTCAACGAAATTTCAGTTTCCATGGGTCTTGCTGTTGTTTTCTTTCAGCCATGTTCCAGGCTGTGAGGGCCCTCATGATCGTGGGGATAGTCCTGGGCATCCTTGGCCTCCTGGTGTGTGTTTTTGCTCTGAAATGCATCCACATTGGCAGCATGGAGAATTCTGCCAAAGCCAACATGACCCTGACCTCTGGCATCATGTTTATCGTGGCTGGTAAGTGTGTGGTGATGTGTCTTTCATGGCCAAGGCATCACTGAATGGAATGGAGGACTGGGAGGACTCCTGCCATAGGTAGAAGATGCTCTGGAGCAACCCAAAGTAGGGATGCCTGTGGGAAGTTATTGGCATTTCTCTTCCCATCAGGCCTCCTGAGCTCCTCTGCTTTCTCCTCAATAAAAGGAAACCAGAAATTTGGATAAGAGAGAACACAAAAGCCTAAAAAAAAGCAGCCCATAGATTAAAACAAAGACATCTTTTAATTTATGTATACTGCTGTATATATTATATTGTATATAATAATTTATTGAAGAGTCTCAGGCTTTATACATCCTAATTTTATGGAGACTCTCAGGGTTCTCATAGCCTTGCTTGTCATTTTTAAGTGTCCTGGGTGATCAGGAAGGCTGCAGGAATGACTATGTGGTGGAAAGAGGAAACCAGTTTCTGCAACACAGCTTTGATTTTCCACTTAAAATCTATCATTTGACTCAGTTGAGTCTTGGGGTTGAGAATTTGGCTGATGAGGGTATTAGAAATGTCCACTGGTGCATTCCTTTTTTTAAAGAGTGTCTAGAATGATGATGTGACTGACTCTTGGGAGGTACCATCACTTGGTTGAGTCTACCCCTTCCAAAACAAGGTCCCTAGTCTCAGCTAGCTAGAGAAGTTCCTGCTACATGAATCTGGTCTACCAGGCTGCTTGCAAAGTCAAGTACATGCCAGGACACAAAGCAGTGTCTCAACCACCTTTCCAGAGCTGGAAGATGCTTCCCCAAGGCCAAAGGTGACTGTTTGTACTATGTGGGTCTCATTTTGTCCTTCTGTTTGATCTCAGGCCTCTGTGCCATCACTGGAGTGTCTGTGTTTGCCAACATGCTGGTCACAAACTTCTGGATGTCCACAGCCAACATGTACCAGGGAATGCAGAACGTCCAGAACAGGTAGGTGAACATCTGGCTCAGAGTGTTTCACCCTTCAGAGCTCCCTCAGGGCCAGTGTGCTGAAGGAGAGGCACACTCTGGGTCCATATTAGTCTGGTCCAAGGACTTGGAAGATCTATTGATTCTCCTCATCTGTGCTGGAGATAATTTATCCAAGCTAAATGGCTGGGACATCTCTGCTCATGCAGCTCAAAGAGAGAACCCATTGATGATGAGCCTTTAGGTGGGATTGTGCCCACAGGAACTTCTGCAGGGAGGATGACAACGTTCAGTGGGTTACAGAAGCAGAAGAATGGAGCCCTCCAGACTTATCTCTGTGTTTTGCAGGTATACCTTTGGCTCAGCCCTTTTCGTTGGCTGGGTGGCTGGTGGCCTGGCCCTCGTGGGAGGTATCATGATGTGTCTTGCTTGCAAAGGGCTGATTCCAGAAGAATCACGGTAAGCTTGTCTGGGGTAGAGATGGAAAAGTAGTGTATGAAACCTTGGAGGCTGGGACAGCATCCAGCCAGCACACCCCAGGACATCTCCATGTGTAATAACCTTGTTGCAAGAGTTAGAATCATAGAATCCTTTAGGTTGGAAGGGACCTTCAAGATCATCAAGTCCAACCATTGAGCCATTAGGGCTCTAAAGTCCTCTGCTAAAACAGATCAGAATCTGCCAGGGTTGGAAGGGACCACAAGGATCCCCCAGTTCCAACCCCTCTGCCATGAGCAGGGACACCTCCCACTAGATCAGGCTGCCCAGAGCCTCCTCCAGCCTGGCCTTAAAGACCCCCAGGGATGGGGCCTCAACCACCTCCCTGGGCAACCCATCCCAGGGTCTCACCACTCTCATGGGGAAGAACTTCTTCCTCACATCCAGCCTGAATCTGCCCACTGCCAGATTTGCCCCATTCCCCCCAGTCCTGTCACTACCTGATAGCCTAAAAAGTCCCTCCCCAGCTTTCTTGTAGCCCCCCTAAGATACTGGAAGGCCACAATAAGGTCCCCTGGGAGCCTTCTCTTCTCCAGACTGAACAGCCCCAACTCTCTCAGTCTGTCCTCACAGCAGAGCTGCTCCAGCCCTCGGATCATTCTCGTGGCTCTTCTCTGGACACGCTCCAGCAGGTCCATGTCCCTCTTGTCCTGGGGGCTCCAGAACTGGATTGTTGTCCTGATTTGCCCTGTATGGTGGGTCAAAAGTGACCATTTCCCTGCCCTGACAACACGATTTGCAAACAAATAAAGAGGGCAGGTGAGAACAACATTAGAAGGGAAAGTTTGCAACCTGCTGGCTAAGTCAGGGCCATTAATTGCAGCTCTGATTGCAAATTGCAGAGCAGATCCTCAGCAGGTGTTGACTGCATCAGCTGAGGTTTAGATCAGGTTGGGCTTTGTATGTCCACGTAGCTCGAGGTGGGTCCTTCACTCAACCAAGGGTTTACTCATGGGAAAGAAGTGATGATTTTATGAAGAAACAGAAAAGAAACTTGCAGTTTGTCCACGGGTGGTTGACTCTGAGTCCATTGAGTGGCTCCAAAGGATGAGATGGTTCCAAGTTTCCTAAAATCCAGAATTCTAGACCCTCCAGTGGCTGATTCCCCTCTTTGTGCCTCTTCCAGTTACAAAGCTGTGTCCTACAACGCGTCGGGACGGAACATCTCCTACAGGACAGGTCCTTACAAGGTTGGTTCAGGGTATGAACCCGAAACGAAGACCAGGAAGGGTGCAGGATATGAAGAAGCTCCTCGAAGTGAGGATGGGAGACGCTCGTACCCTTCCAAATATGACTATGTCTAGTAGACTTCCCGGGCTTGGCGTTGTGCTGTCTTTGGAGAAAAAAGGGTTTGAACTTCAGAAGCAAAAAGCAAAGGCCAAGAAAAGGGGTCTGTAAATAGGATTGTGTTATCTGTTGTGTTTCCTCTACTCAAGAGGTTGTATCTTAGCTTGTTATGAACGTTGGTTTTATTAGTACACCTACCACAAGGGTCTAGAACAACAGTTATGTCTTTTTATGCTCTCAGAGTAGTTTGCTCGTATTTTACATATAAATTCTGATATCAAGGACCTGGATTGTGCCTTGTGCTCTTTTCTGATTCTCCTAAATAGGTTAAAATTCCCCATTTAACAACAGACTAGATGTAAAAGTGATACCACCCTATGGCCTTCTTCCCTTGGAGCACGTTTTCATGCAATCAGGCCACATCATCCCCTCATTTCTCAGAGTTTAGAGAGGTGGACACTAACTTGTGACCCTGCTGTCCTCTGTTCATCAGAAAAAAAGATGGTGTAAAAAAAATGAGAGTGTATCTCTGCTCTAGTTTTGCCAGAGGTGGACACTAACTTGTGACCCTGCTGTCCTCTGTTCATCAGAAAAAAAGATGGTGTAAAAAAATGAGTGTATCTCTGTTCTTGTTTTGCCACCCCGTTTCTTATTTTATTTTTTTAACAGGTTGAAAAGCAAAATTTATAATCTAGTAATCTATATTGTTTTGGTTTATATTTGAAGTAATAGAAGTTGTGTCCCTTTGGCTCTGGACATCCAGCCCCAGCACTTCCCTCCGTGGTGACTGCTCATACTCAGACATCCTTTCCCTGGGTTGGTTGGGCTGCAGTGCTGATCTCCTGTGATATTTAATCTGATTTATGTTCCTCAGACGTTTGCCATAACCTGTGATACCCAAGTGTATTTATTTCTTCTGATCTCTCCAGGGAATTTGTATAATCCATTGTTATTCCTACACTAGATCTTTGCTGTAATAGCTGAAAACCTCTGCGTGTGACCGGTGTTCCTGCAGATGTCATCTTTAATGAAGCCAGGAGAATTTCTCATTTAGAATTAATTAGAGTTGCATTTGGAGCAGAAATCCCAGGGAGCATTAGATGTAGAACTCCATATCAACATCAAGACTTTCTTGTGTTAATTCTTCCCCCAGTGATGGGAGGATTAACTCCTTAGTGGGACGTTGCCTCTTCTAGCCAAGCCACCAGAGAAGAAGTTGATTGGAAGGGCTCAGAGGAAGAGACACAAGAGCTTTCATGGGAGCTGTGTGCCATGAGCAGGTCCTCCCACCTAGCTCCAGATCACCTAGTGAAGCTCTAGAAAGTGCCTATGAGCAGAGCAAAGGGTACTGAGGGACAAGTTGGAGAGAAAGGGGCCAAATACTCCAAAAGATCCATTTTGATAGATATCTGCAAGAGGTTTTGGCTCCACTTTTAGAGACTGTAAATTCTCTGTGGGAGTTCACTGGCAAAATGATTTTGGTGAAACACTGATAAGCCCTTGAGTGGTTTCATGTTCTGGAGGAATCAGAGGTTGAGAGGAATGTTTCTCCAGTTTTGGACCTCTGGTAGGTCAAGCTGCAAGTCTAGGTGGTATCTCTGGTAGCTTGTATGAATAAGAAGGGTGGGATGTTCTGCTGAACATCAGTGCTCCCAGAGAGCACAACCCATACTCCTCACCTCTCTAGAACCATCAGCTCCCCACCAGAACACCGTGGCCCATCTCCAGCACAGGTCCAGGAGCTGCAGAGAGGTTGCACCTTGAGCAGGTCAGTGAGAGGAGGATGGAATGCTTGGCAGGGTGTGGCACCAGGGGCTGATGGCTGGAGGAGATGACCACCATGCAGAGAGGTGGGAAGAGCTTCCATCCAACACAAGCTCTTGGTCCATCTCAGGCTGGATGAGATGTCCACCATGCAGAGAGGTGGGAGGAGCTTCCATCCAAGAGAAGCTCTTGGTCCCACCTCAGGCTGGGCGAGATGTCCACCATGCAGAGAGATGGGAAGATCTTCCATACAACACAAGCTCTTGGTCCATCTCAGGCTGGATGAGATGTCCACCATGCAGAGAGGTGGGAGGAGCTTCCATCCAAGAGAAACTCTTGGTCCCACCTCAGGCTGGGCGAGATGTCCACCATGCAGAGAGGTGGGAAGAGCTTCCATCCAACAGAAGCTCTTGGTCCCACCTCAGGCTGGACGTTGGCCCTGCTACCCCCTGGGATAAATCACCACCCGTGCTGGAAGTCTCACACTAACAAAGGACTTATTTTAAGGATCTGTTTTTAGTGGAAAACAACCAAGTTTTGCTGAGGTCAATCCTATTTTTAAAACCTCTCTATTCCTTACAAGATTTTCATCCACTTCTCAGTATAGGTTTAGCTTCTCTGCCTTATTTTTTTTGCATGCTGGATTTATTTGTTGGTTTGTTTTGTTGTGTTTGTTGTTTGGTTTGTTTTGGTTTTGGTG